TTTTGCCCAAAAGGCAAAAAAAAAAAAAAGAACTGAGTCTGGATTACACATCCCTGCACCAAGTCCTTGTCCACCCAGATTTTATGGACACATTTTTGAGGTTCTAGGACTTCATGAGCTTCCCAGTTAGTAAAAGTTGTTTGCAACACCTTTGACTCATGAGAAAAAACAAAGCAATGCTTGGAGAAGTTGTATCTGATACACACAGCAGCCCAGGAATGTGCAATCAGCAATTAGGACTATTTAATACTCCCAGATAGAAAGGCAAAAAAACCACACATGGAAAAGTGAGATTTATCAGGCAGTTAATTGCCAAGCATTTTAATTTAAGAGTTAGGAAAATGTAATTCTAATTATTACCGAATTATGCAGTCATACATTTTCATACTCATGTAATATAGGACCCTCGGAATGACATGACACATTTTAATTAAAACACAATTACTTATTGACGATTAGATCTGTTCAAACACAGCCTCCCTTCCAGCACCTTTCCCGTGTTCTTCACCAGTGAATGGCACATCAGAAATAGGAAGAGCTCAGATGTGATGCAGCAAATTTTTTGAGAGGTGTTAATTCCTTTTCTTTATAAGTTTATTTTTAAAAGCTGTCTCTCTATATCTGTGGAATGACATAAAGACCTATAAATAATACAGATTTCTCCTTTAGTTGTGCTATAATTTATGACTTTATTTCTCTCTTCGCCAGAGAAAATTTACCAGTCTTTCATTTGTTCATCACACTGAGCACATGAACTACCATAAACTTCCCTAAACTTCCATTACTCCTTTCCAAGTTAAATTTTCTGTTCACCAACAGCTCCTAAAACAAGCCAAGCTTTAGCAGGGGGAAGTTTTGAACCAAAACAGAAAAGCCAGGTGGGCTCTGGAAAGACATTTCACCTTGGTCACCTTTTTTACTGAGGTTTTTCCCTCTCTCCAGCCAAAAACTTGGTTCATATATTCTTCATGAGCGCATAAACCTTCAGCTTTACCAGCAAAACTAACTGAAACAATTTTTTTATATGTCCAAACCAGCATAACTTGTTTTTTAGATGTGACAGGAAAAAGAGGAGACATCAGAATCTGAACCGATTTTTTCCCACTTATTGCATTATAGAGCACTTAAAATAACTTCAAGATGGAAGAAAAAATTAAAAAACTTACAGCCAGTTGGCTCAAAATCCGACTCACAAGTGCAGGAGACTCTGTGATTTCCAAAGAAGGAAAAATTTTACCTTAGTCGCCTCCTATTTTGTAAAGCCACAATGCAAAAGTTAATTTTTGGTGGAAATCCCATCCTTTTCCACGGAAATTCTCTGTTCCCGTTGTCAGCCAACGAAAGGAGCAAGAGAAAGAGCAAATCTTTCCTTCCTTACCTCTGGCACTGAGGATTCTCCCTGACAATAAGAGCACTTCACACCTCAAATTTGGGACTGTTTCCTCTATTCAAGGATTTGTTGCCGCTAATTAAGGCAGATTCCACTTCACACTCAATTCAGCTTCAATTCTACTTCACTCATTAATTAAAGTAATGAGTAGATTCTATCCCTCTGCTTAAAGAGCTGTGCATTAGTTAGATTTTTCAGCAATTTAAAATCTTGATTTTTTGTTTGTTTGGTTGGGGTTTTTTTTTGTTTTGTTTTTGTTTCGATTCATAGGTTTTTAAGATGGTGATATCTTGGCCTGACATGTTAAATATGTTACCAGCTTTCCCACCAGGTCACCTGCAAGAATTTCTGGTCTCTGCAATAAAATTCCAAAGAAAATCCACCTGAGGTTTAATGTATCTATTTATTAATTTATGCTTTGGAAGTTCACACTGGAATTTCATCCTAGCTTTACTATTCTTTGCATAATAAGATTTTTATTCTTTATATCATTTTTTATGGTTTACACATATTCCTTTTTTTTTTACCTGGTCATTTGCCAGATGTTTTGGTGTCCAATCCCTGGAAAATCCCCCAATAAAACCCTCCCACCTCCTCTGTTCCTTTCAAGAGTGGGAGTGATTTAACCTTCATCATAAATTCGAGGTTTAGTCTGTAGGGAAAACATTTATGGAACCACAGAGCTATTGTGGGCCAAATGACAGAACTGAACTTCCCAGTGACTCAGAATCTCAGCCAAACTCCTCCTAATTACAGAAGAGATAATTGTAATTTCTTAGGAGATGACAGCTGTGTTATAACACCAGAAGTGCAACTTTCTGCCGTGGCTGCAAATAATCCTGCTCCTACTCTTCCAGAGAAAACTTGGGAAGCCACCAAACAGGTGTACAAGGGGAACAGAGGAATGTTCCGAAGGGGTTTTTTCTCCAGGATGGTCACAAGTCCATCATGATGGGCAGAACAAGCACAGAGAACACAACACAACAAACACAACATAACACAGCACAGCACAACAAACACAAAACAGCACAACACAACACAACTCAACACAACTCAACACAACTCAACACAACACAACGCAACAAACAAAACACAACACAGCACAGCACAGCACAACACAACTCAACACAACTCAACACAACAAACACAACACAACACAACACAACACAACAAACACAACACAGCACAACACAAAAAACACAACACAGCACAACACAGCACAGCACAACACAACAAACACAACACAACACAGCACAGCACAACAAACACAAAACAGCACAACACAGCACAACTCAACACAACACAACACAACACAACACAACACAACACAACTCAACACAACACAACACAACACAACTCAAGACAACACAACACAACACAGCACAGCACAACACAACACAACACAACACAGCACAGCACAACGAACACAAAACAGCACAACACAGCACAGCACAACACAACACAACACAACACAACTCAACTCAACACAACTCAACACAACTCAACACAACACAGCACAGCACCCTGGAAGTCCCTAAAGGCAGCAAGGAGAAATGGAGCGGTTTTCCAGGATGGTTTTGGCAAGATAGAGGGTGATATAAACCTGGGAGGAGCTGGTGACTCCCTGGAGGGCAGAGAGACCCCCACAAATGAGAGGGATGAAAAATCGCTGACCACGAGAAGTTCAACAAGGAAAATACCAGATGTGCACCCAGAGAGGGACACCCCTGGATTTAGGGAGACTGGGAATGAGAGGCTGGGAAGCCGTGCCAGGGAAAGGAACCTGGGGGTCCTGGCTGAAGGAAAGGTGGATCTGAGTCCCCTGGAGCAAGATGGGACATCCCTGTCCTGGGGGCATTGGGGATTGTCCTGCTCTGCTCAGCCTCACCTCGAGTTCTGGGGTAGTTTTGGGTGCCACAATATAAAAAAGACATTAAACTGTTAGAGAGTGTCCAAAGGAGCCACCAGGATGGGAAAACCTTGAGGAGAAGCCATGTGAGGAGCAGCTGAGGGCACTTGGAATATTCACCTGGAGGAGAGGAGAGCTCTTTGGGCCTTCAGCAGCATCCTGAGGGCAATGCAGGGGCAGGAACTGAATCTTCATTGTCACGGCCAGGGACAGCAGCCAGGGATGGCTGGAGCTGGGCCAGGGGGTTCAGGTTGGATTTTAGGGAAAGGTTCATCCCAGAGGTGCTGACACTGCCCAGGGAATGGGAGCAGCCCCAGAGCTCCCAGGGGTGCCCAGGGTGGGATTGTTGGGGGTCTGGAGCTGCACTGATGATCCTTTGGGGTCCCTTCCAGCCCAGAGTATTTTGTGATTCCTTGATTTTCAATCTAGTGCCAAGGACACAACGAGATGTCACAACCCAGCTCCCTTAGGAGCATCACATGGACATGGGGTGGGACATTCTCTGCCTCTAACTAATCCCATATCCAGAGGGTAGGCACTTGGAATTTAGGGGCATAAATAAAGAGAATGGGAGAGGGAAGCTTATGGAATATTTTCATTTTGGGATTCACACAGGGGCAGTGAGAGCTGTGCCCCAGCTGATTTCACCAGTGCAGCAATGCTTTATCAAGGTTTTGGCATTCTCCATGTGCAGAGAGCACTGAGGGATGATGTGTTTGCAGGGATTGCATTTCTTAAAGGAAGACAAAACCAATCAGAGATTAATATATAAAAGCCTGACACTCCATATAGGGATAAAAAAAGAAATTACAGCTCCCACTATGCAAAACCTGTGGGGAAGCTCTTCAGTCTTCCCAGCGTGAGCAGGCTGGTGTTGAATATTCCCTAAAATCTGGTTATACATGTTTATTTCCAGCTCCTCTGAAAATGATGATGCAGGACATGTTCTTCCCCTGGTTTCTTTAATTTTAGTGTCTCTTCAGCCACTGATGCAGAATTTTTCCCTTTTATTTGAAAAGCTGAATGGGTTGGTTGTGATCTGCAAGTTTCCCCTGTATGAATTCCAGCTCTCAGCCCTTTTCAGGAGTAAAGCCTTCCTATCAGGATATTCCCTCATTTTCAGGCAGTGAATCCAGTGCACCTGGAAAGAAATGGTTCCACAAATATACTTGGAGAGCTGTGCCTGGTGGGAACATGTGCAAACCCACTTCAGCCAACTGGAAATTTGATTTTAATTGATTTAGATTTAATGTGTGAGAGAAGTGAGATGAGTGAAAAATGGACTTTTGAAAGCCTGAGGAGGAAAACAGTTGGGATAATGGGGATGTGACATCACAGCTGTCTGGAAGGGATGTGATGTCAGATTTTGTCTCCATTACCCCACATCCTGCAATAGAAGGGTCAACAGCACCAGTTGTTGCCAATACCCCACTGGAATTGGCTCCAAACCTCAGGAATTTTCGCCTAAATCATGTGGATTCAATATTTAATACATGCATGGAGAGGGGAGAAAGCTGAGATTATAATAGTTAATTTTTAAAAAATTCAAAAGCAAAGTGTACTGATTACTGACTAAGTTTGATTGAAAATAAGAAACAATGTCCAAATAATCCCCCATGCCATCTCTCCATGGGATGGGGAAGGGGAACACCATTCCCAGTTGATGGATAACTCTTGGCAATGTTTCCCCTGAGGGCTTGGAGCAGTTTGGTCTGGTGGAAGATGCCCCCTGCTCATGGCTGGGGAGTTGGAACAAGATGGTCCTTGAGGTCCCTTCCAAAAATTGGCAATTTTCAGATTTTTCACTCTGCAGCCGTGGATTCCAGTGAAATCCTTCCTGTGGTTAAAAATGGTCTCTAAGCAACAAGCACTGAAATGTTTCCAAATCTTTTTTGCTTGACCCAGGATTTGTGCTGAGTTAGATGAGTAAACACTGGCATGACGTGACATTCCTGTTATTTATGTTCCATCCAAATAAGTGGAAGATAACCTAGGCAAATTTCCATTATCTAATTATAAAAACCTCCTCATATTCCCATGAAACTAATTTTAATTTGATGAAAAACAGACAACTTGGAAATGGATTTCCTACGATTTGAGCGATAAGATTCTTTCTCAGCGTGCTCTCAATTTACCAAAGACTCCAAAATTGGAGATCTCTATTAATAAACATTGCTGGTTGCTCATGCAGTGACTTCATGTTATTACACGCACACAAAAATAAAAATAAAAGGAAAAATCTCCTCTGCTGCATTCTAGGGAAGGAGGAAGGAACCACACTGTGCTTTATTTTCAGGAGGGAGCTGCAGCAGGTGAAGCTCCTGCTTTGTTCAAAGCTGCTCTCACTGTGTGATGGTCACAGGTGTTTAAAATGTCTGCAAAAATTCCAGAAAATTTGCCTTTGGAGAGAAAACCTCTCAGCAGGAAGACTTGAACTGGATGATCTTAAGGTTTCTTCAACCCAAACCATTCTGTGGTTCTGTGAATTACAGGAAGCTCCTTAAAACCACGAGGTGCAGGGAATTACCTGCAGCAGAAACAAGGTGTGTTTTGACAATTATTCTCTCTTACAAGTCCCAATCCTGCTTTTCCTTACTCCTGGAAATTCCACAGCAAATTCATTGCATGAGTACAGGTTAGTGGCACCTCTCCTGAAACTTGTGACATTGTCCAGTGTCTGAAACATCCAGAAAAAAAGGAGAAATCCAGACCTGGGTTTGACCACTCTTCCTGAAAACTAAACCCCAAAACCCCCTGATTTCCTGTAAAATCTAAGAGGAAGATCAATTTAACTAATGATGAGGGGGTTCTGTGTCCCCGTGGACATCACACATATTATTTATAGAATGCATTAATATTTCATTTTTCCCATTCCTAAACAGTCTTTGAGGGCAAGAAAAAAAAGAGAGATAGCTGGAGACAGGTAACATTTTAATTGAAATTAATGGCATTGGTTTGATTTCACCTCTGAGGATACAAAAATCATTCATTTTTTTGTCATGAAAAGGACCTTTGTGTCTCGCCAGTGCCCTGACAAGCACGACAAGCTGTAGATCACACTGAGAATCCACCTCCCACCTCTCACTAACCTGTGCCATGTAGATCATCATGAGAAACCAGCGAGGAAAAAATGCAGAGATCACTACAAGACAGAGCTAAAACTCAGCTTTTCCTTGCTTTTTTTTAATGCCAGCACAAGGAAAATCCATCCCTGGGATGGGATGGTGCCCAGGCAGCTGCACTGCTGTTTTTCCATCAGTTCCTGTCAGCAGCTGTAACCCCTGCCCAGGAACAGGCAGGATCAGGAGCATTTTGTGCTGGACCTGCGCTGCTGAACGTGCCAAACCTGTGTGCTGAGCAGTTGTTGTTCTCCAAAGGCTTCTCTGGAGTTGGAGTCTTTACAGGAGGGAGATAAAGTAGCTGGGGAGATAAAGCAGCACCAAAAGTGGCAGTGCCAGCCAGAGGCAGGACTGAGGACTCAGCTCTTTACAGCCCTTCTAGCCCTCCTCCAAAAATTCTGTGCTGCCAGGGTGGGTGCAGGAACCCCTTGGCTTTCATTTACAGGATTAGTTTTTATTTTTTTCCAGAATGAGTGAAATGAGGTTGCGTTTTCTGAAGCACCTGAGCTGCTCAGGAGGAGGAATCGCTGAGATCTGGGCTGTGAGCTCCTCTCTGTGTTTGAAAAGCTGAGTCAATGGAGCTCTTGCTCCTAAACCACTTAAACCACTTTGTTAAATCCTTAGAAACTTAAAATGGAGCACAAACAGGTCACCACCCCAACCCCAACCCACTTCTCAGCTCAGCCCAAAGTTTCTTCCAAGCACTCTCTTTCTCACTGTCCATTATGGAATAATTTTCCTTTTATTTTTTTTTCATTAAAATCTCGTCTATAAAACTTTTTACTGTACATTTTCCAATGATTATCACACTCCCAAAGGCCAGAAGTACCTTGGCTGACTTGCACCTACATGAATTCAGTCCCAATGCAGAGGAAGGTCTTGAAATTATTTCTCTTCTGCTGTAATTTGCAAATTTGAAATGGAAAATGAAATACAACTCACAGTCAAAAATGAAGAGTGAGTAAAATGCCACAGAAGCTGCAACAGAGTAAATGGACAAGTCAAATATTGCATTTACTCATTAGAAATTATAAGGAAGGCTCAAAATTTACCTAAAAATCTCTCTTTATTGCCAGCAAACTACACTGAAGATAAAAAGGAATAATTTTTCAGATTTTGTGTTAGATTTTTAATTTTTGAGGTGGGAATAAACATAAAAACACCTCAGAAATTCTCTGTGAATATCTGTATTTCCTTCCCTCAGTTATCCTAACCCGCTTTATCAGAGTTGGGATCCAGAGCACAGCTACTGAAATACCCCAGACCCCAAAAAACATGGAAAAATCCTACAAAGCCCCTCAAGAGATGGTTTTGGGGTTTTTGGGGGTTTTTTGGGGGGGTTTTTGTTGTTGTTTGTTTGTTTGTTTTTTAGGTTTTGGGGGGGTTTTTTGTTGTTGTTTTTGGGGTTTTTTGTTATTTTGGGGTTTTTGTTGGTTTTGTTGTTGTTGTTGTTTTTCCTTTTAATTTTTCTTTCAAGCCACAGACCAGGTTAATTTTGTTCCTTTCAAGGAATTAATAGATAATAATAATAGATAATAATACCAACTGCTTCTTCCCAGGAAAAGTGACCTATATTCCAGGTAAGAAAATATTCCTCCCAAAGAGGAATTCCACTGCCATGAAATGCTCAGCTAATAGCTACACTTGTATTATTTTTCATCTGGGTGCCCCAAGGATCTTCCTCCCCTATTCCTATGCCCAGTGCAGGGCCACCCTTTGTTACAACATTAAAATCTACTTAATATTTTTTTATCATTTCACATCACAGCCCCGGTAATTGCACCATTGCACCCTCAGGAGCAAGGCTTCTTCCTGTGCTTGCTTTTCAATATTATTGGCATCTCCCTCATTTGGGGACCTGGAATGATCTTTTTTGCATTTTCCCCGTGCAATGACAAACACGGCTGGTTGTGGCTCAAGCACTATTTGGAGCATGACCCCCTCGGCTCCTGGTGTTATCCAAATTAGATTTTGATCTTTGTCAATTAGGCTTTGCCACTGTGGACCTGCTGTGCCATTATCAGGAGAATCCCTGGCAGGGTTGGGAAGTCAGTGAACTTTGGAAGCCTTTCTCCACCTTCTAGGGATGCAGCTTTACAACAGGAGCTGTTGAAAAATAGAATAATGAAATAAAAATTTCTGTTCACAGCCCCTATTTCTGGCAATCTTTGCACTGTTTGTCCTTAAACCAAGAATCACTCGCAGTGCAGAGAGCTCTGCCTTCCCATGGCAAAAAAGAAAATCCAAGCAATCTTGATTTCCACAAGCAATTTGGCTTTCCTTTTGCTCCTTTTAATGTTCCTGGCTTTGTAACATACCCTGCCACAGATTTGTCTGGGGGCCAGTTTTGCTTCTGGGGGGGATAAAAGTAGTGACCAACTGAATAAAAAAGACAAATGCCAGGAAGTCTTCTCTGGGCTGGGACGCTGCTGCAGCCCAAGGGCTTTGTCAGCTGTTTAAACTGGGTTTAAACTGGGCAGGTACTGGGGGAATGCTGGGCTTGGCACAGCTCCTGGCCTTGCTGAGACTCACCTCCACCAGAGCCATCCCAAATCCCTTCATGTGGGGAGGCTGCCTGCCAAAAATCTTCCTTTTCATGCTCACATTTCAGTTGTGGCTCAGCTTTCCAAGGTGCACTTGTAGGGTCGGGTACAGAGCTGTCCAGATGGGATATGGGAGATGCTGCAGGGCTGAGGGGAAGGAAGAACCTTCCTGGCATGAAGAAATAGTGCTACACACCAGGATTTTGCAGCAGGAGAGGACATTCCATAGGTTTTAAGGCCAAGAATGATCCTCAGGTCTGACTCTGTGCCCACCAAAAATTAAGGGTTTTGCTGACTCAGTACCTGTTTGAATTATCAAAAATTAGTTATCAGTGAAACCTCCCCAGGATAAAAAGTCTCTTATCAACAAAGGGATGGGGTGACAGGACAAGGGGAATGGCTTCCCACTTCCAGAGGGCAGAGATGGATGGGATATTGGGCAGGAATTGTTCCCTGGGAGGGTGGGCAGGGCTGGCATAGGGTGCCCAGAGCAGCTGTGGCTGCCCCTGGATCCCTGGCAGTGCCCAAGGTCGGGCTGGATGGGATTTGGAGCACCCTGGGACAATGGAAGGTGTCCCTGCCATGGCAGGGAATGGGACTGGATGTGCTTGAAAATCCCAAACCAACCCAAAGCACCCCATGATTCCAGCACCTGCTTGTTCTTGCAGGACATTTACAGGCTGCTCCCATTTCCCTGAGGGCACAATTCCCTTCACTCTGGTGCACACCCAGAGTTTGCTCTCCCTCAGAGGCTTCCAACCCAACCCATTCCAGGACTCTGGGATAACCCTGAGGACGCTCCAGCACACCCATCTCCAAGCTCCAGGACGTGCAGCTTTCAGCAGTTTTCCCTCCGCAGTAATTTGAGGGTTAACCCAACATCAGCATTTCTCTTTCCCCACACCAATTTCTATTTCCAAGCTGGATCCAAACCTTCCCCCACGTTTTGCTGTTGAGCACACAAAGGCAGAGCAGAGCAGATGAAGCACACACAGCCACAGGAGCTCCCACAGTGACTTTCCTTGGGAATGCTGGAGGAATGGCCAAATGAGCCCTGCAGACGCGCTTGGGTTGGGTCCCTCGCTGCCCCGTTAGCAGACAGCAGAACACACAAAACCGGAGCCAGC